GGGAAAGAGCACTGGCTTATGCTTTCTCACAACAGGTAAACACCAAGTATAAAGAAATTCTACAATGTGACTTTTACGATAATTATTTTAAAATACATTAATAATAATTTTTCATTAATTGACGATGTAAAAACAAAAATTAGATTGATTGTGTATAGAAATTAAAGTCAACACTAAATACTATTTCTTGTAGATATAGGATACAAGGCTGGTAACAAAACACTAATCCTGGTTATTGCAGCTAAGAATCTGTTCAAAGAGAAGATCTCCAAAATTTAACAGCATGGAAGCAAATATGAGTTGGAGTTGGCTTGAACGGTGGATGGCAACACGCCTTCCAGAGACCTCATCAGTTGAAAGCCATGCCATGAAGCAATATGACCCTCCTAACAATAACAATAAATTCACAATCATGACAAGATTTTTAGATGCTGCTGCTGGGGAGGAAAAGGAGAGTTGCGGGTCAAACGAAGTGCCCCTTCATTTTGACAACTATTCAATCAATTCACCAGAAGAAAAAATTAGCTTCAAACCACATACTGCAAAGACCAATTTCAAACCAAGGAGAACAGTTTCAAAAAGGAAAACAGTGCCAAGTTATCAGTTCCATGAAGAGCAGCCAAAGGTCAGAATCTCTTCATTAGTTCACATGCCATCCAAGCCTGCAGGCCAAACGTAACAAGTTAATGACTAAATTTGTTTAGATATAACTTAAAAGTACTTTCTTTATTAAAAATTTTTAAAAAATACTTTAAAAATACTCTTAACTTGAATTGAAATAGTTTCTACATCTCATGATTTTTAAATAGACATGATCATGATCACAAAAGATATAATTTTCATGCTCCCACCACAGGAAAGCAAGAGAGATGGTTCGGGCAATGCTTGCAAGGATATTAAGCCAAAGCAAAAGCAAGTAGGAAGCAGGACATAAACTACATTAAGCACCTCGAAAGCTTCTAATATATGTGTAACTTGTAACAAAATAAATTTTATGTGTCTAGTATTGAGATGTAATGGTTGGATTCTCTTGTAGATTCTTGATTCCATAATCTTATGCGTACATTGTACATAATATCAAGTGCATGATTGAGATGGTTGTTGATCTGATTGTTTGCAAATTCATCCATTATTAAGCTGTAAAATCAGCGCAATCTCGATTAGTTGCATATTGATGGGAGACTTTTTTTTTTTTTTTTTTTTTTTAAGTGAGAAATGAAAATGCTCAATATTAAAATTCAACTTTGTATACTATATCATTCAAAACCAATGCGTGTTGGTTTAACAGAAAGACTTTGACATTTGAATATCTTAACCACATGATTAAGTTAATAAACCCCCTCCAAAAAAAATCCTCATTTCCACACGTGGCAAAAGTGAAAAGCACATGATTCACGTGTATGAAATCAGGTGGGAGATAATATGAGAAACCAAAAAAATGCGGGATGATGCAAAAATCTAAGATAATCCTAATAATTGAAGAAAAGAAATCCTAAATCTTAAATATGAGGTATTTTTAATTATGGAAGAAAAACAATTCATGTCCATGGGAAAAGAAAACAATTCTTTATTCTTCACTTATCTTACGAAATTATTAAGTTAATGCCTCATATCAAGAAGAAAAAAAAAGCTAAATGCACTTTGTCATATTCTTATGAAATTAAATGCCACATATCATCTAGATCTTCCTTGTTTTGGACGACGTCAAATACATCTTCTCCAACATTTTAACCATCTTGATGTCATTCACTTTGAAATTTTGGAAACCAAATCGACTATCACACTGTGTTTGCTTGATATGAAATGGTGAAAAAATAAGGAGGGATGGATGAGAAATAAGAAGTGAGAAATATGTTTAATGGTTTGGCACCGATGAGTTTTGTCAAGTGAGAAATTTAAAGATGTGAGTCCCTTGTGTATTTATTTTCTTTGCAAAATTGCAAGAAAATATGAGTAAAATTGAGGAGTGAAGGTGTTATGCTTCCTGTGAGATTATTATCCCATGATTGTGTGTGTTTTGTATTTGATTGGTGAAGGTTGTATTCAATTGTGTATGGTATTCGATTATGTATATTTTGTATTCAATTGTGCATGGTATTTGATTATGTATATTTTGTATTTGATTGACGGGTTGATATTCGATTGTGGATTTGGTTTATTTGATTGGATTGGGTTTGAATACAATTTTGGCATAATTTATTACAACAAAACTTCATTAACAATATCAAAATATGTTGTAATTGATTACGAACTTTCTTGATTCAAATAAGAACTTTTTAGTGTGTCCAAAAAAGTATGTATTTAATTTTGAAAGGGGAAATAATAATTTTTCTTTGATTATGATTTGTTTTCTCACGATTAATTTAAATTAAACAATTTTATAATATATTTTTTTTATTTCTTATCTATTTCTCTTACATCAAACAAACTCATTTTTACCTTCTTTTTTTTTACATAATTTTACTTACCTATTTCTTATCTTACAGTCAAAAACATTATTAAAACATATGTTTGGGCTTTCTTATATAGAGAGGTAATTTTTTAAAATATTAATTCAACTAGACTTGTAAAAAAAAAAATTAACCTATTTTGTTATCTTAATTGTATTGATTTGAAACTTAAATATATTATTAGTCTTTTAAACTTAAAATAAATTTATTTTTATTTCCCAATTTTTTTTAAAAATTTAATCTTTATATTCTTAAAGAAAATGTTTTAATCTTTTTTTTTTCCTAAATCACTTACTAATATTCTTATCGGTGAAAAACATCATATTTGCTGCATATAGTCTACTAAAATATATATCCATTGGTAATATTGAAAGTGATAAGAGTGGTTTAAAGCAAGTTTTTTTATTTAAGTTTTTTTTTTTTTTTTGAATTACATTGATGTTAACATCTTAAATATATTGTGTCAAAAACTGAAATAAAGTGTCAAAAGTCAAAACGACGGTGTTTAGCAAGCTAACCTTATCCTCCGAATTTCATCACAAAAGTAGCGGTGGTTCAGACAGATTAAACCCTCATTTCTGTCCCTCTCTTCCACTCTAATTCATAGGCAATAATGCAAATTTCTCTCAGCAATTTAGCCTTCAAGACCCCTCAACTCTTCCCATTCCACCAACACTTTTTCCCTCCAAAGCCACTGAGCCACCAAGTTTCACTGCACACCCATGTCAATGTCCTGAAAGGGTCGGGGTTTTTGTCCGAAATCAGCAAAGCAATTGATCACGAAGAACAGTACCGGATAGCCCGGTCACAGGTTAACCGCAAAGTTTTGGACTTGGAAGGTTATTCCATTGAGGGTCTTTCAGTTGGGGGCCAAGAGACATGTATCATAATCCCTGAATTCAAGTGCACTTTTGACATTGGGAGGTGCCCTAGCAGAGCCATTCAGCAAAACTTCCTTTTCATTACTCATGCTCACCTTGATCACATTGTAAGGTTCTCCACTGTTGTCACCAATAACATTTTATTTGGTTTGGTGCTGTTTCTTTTTTTTATTTTTTTTATTTTGGATTAGTAGAAAGCAAGGTTTTAAATTGTGGTTGCAGTTATAGTTATTTTGCATTGCTTGACATTTGTGGAAAATTGCAAACAAATGTGGCTGATGTGGCCACAATTATGGTTGCAATGCAGTAGCATAGATTCCAAAAACTTGAGGTTATGGCCAAAATTACGGTTGCCACCAATTTTTATGATCTTGGTAGAAAAGGAAAAAGGGGGTAAATTACATGTGCCACGTGTTATCTTAATAGATTGTATTGGTTATTGATAGACAAAGCCAAATTCATTATTGATTAAACCTTTTTTTTTTTCCTTAGAACTTAGGTTTGTGGTTGTAAGGGCTAATTTTGATAGAGCATATTAAGAGCAATTCAGGTGGGGCTTGTTTAAATAAACTCCTTCAAATCTAGGGGAAAAAATAGGAAAGAAAATCGAAACAAATTTCTCTCTAAGCTAAAACTAGCTTATGCATAAGTTAATTTTAACTTATAGAGAAGCTTATTTTATTTCTCTTTCCTATTTTAGAAGTATATCTATATAAGTTTACCCAAACAAACCCTTAATCTAATGCTAGTGGGGTAAGGCTATCTTTTTATTGTTGTTTAGATCATCTAATGCTGGTCTTTCTTTTCATTTTTCACTAATCCCAGTGTGTCTTACTTGTGATTCGTGAATGTGTTTTTTGCACGCCTTCTGTGCATCCTGTACTTTGGATGTTGAGTGTAAATTTTGCATAAGCATGTGATGATTTTGAATGATTTAGGGAGGGCTGCCTATGTATGTAGCTAGCCGTGGTTTGTACAATTTAAAACCTCCCACTGTGTTTGTGCCTCCTTGCATCAAAGAGGATGTTGAGAAGCTGCTTGATATTCACCGAACAATGGGGCAAGTTGAATTGGATGCTGAAGTGGTCGCATTGGATGTGGGTATGTGTCATTTGTCTTTCTTTAATGGTCAGGAGATATCTTTGAGGAAATGATGTGTGAAGTTTCATTTCAGGGGAGACGTATGAGATACGGAATAACCTTGTTGTCCGACCATTCAGAACACAACATGTTATACCCAGCCAGGTACCTTTCAACCAACCATTCTGTAGCCTGTCTTTTAACTGAAGGGTATATTATATCAGTGTTAGAAGTTACCTCATTTTGTGTACAAAAACTCTAGAACAAAGAACGTAGCCTTAAATTTATCAGGTTTTGGCTTACCATATTTTTGTTATCGTTTATACTATTGTCTTCTAATGCTGGATATTAACTCTGATTTTTTTTTTTTTAAGAAATGCTATATGGTCATCCCCACATTTTGTTTTGTGAAGGCACATACTTGTTTTTGTTTTGATTTTTTCTTTTGCATTTACATACTTTTCTATACTTTGTACATCTCTTGTGTTTCCATTATGATAGTGAATTAGTGATAACATTCTAATAATGAACCTTGTTCTTTAAAATATGTTACAAAAAAAAAAAAAAGAACAGAACAGTGACAGTGACAGTGAATGAGTTCCTAGTACCTAATTTTTTCCATCATGGCAATAACTGGGCTTTTGAGATCTCGTAGAATAAGAATAATACCAACTTGGTAGTATTTGTTATGCAGGGTTATGTAGTTTACTCAATCAGGAAAAAGCTGAGGAAACAATATGCCCACCTGAATGGGAAACAAATTGAGAAATTGAAGAAGTCAGGTGTTGAGGTTTGTAATATCTGGAACTCAATTCTGATTTAAATCTTCTTTGATCTTTATCTGTAATGAACTCTTGTTTCTAGATTACAGACATTATATTATCTCCTGAGGTGGCCTTCACTGGTGATACAACATCAGATTTTATGCTTGACCCATGTAATGCTGATGCATTGAGAGCAAAAATTCTTATAACTGAGGTACAGTACAATTATTTTATCAGCAAATTCAGCTGACTTTGAGAATTGACAGCGTGTTCCACTGAAAACCTTAGAAATAAGTCTATTCCACAAATTAAATCAATTCTTAATTTAACCATTCCTGAACATGTTCTTTAAGATTATCATGTTTATAAATTACAACTTGAGGTATTGTCATGGGAATTTTCAGTTAACTCTTTTCTTCTGTGCTTGGTTAGAGTGGAATTGGAAGGAATGAAAACAAATACTGAAAAAGATGAGATTTTAATTTTTTATGGTTTTCAGTTTATTGACATTTTAGGGGTTTCTTTCCTTGATGGATATACAAAGAGATTGCAGAACCTTATTGTTTTAAGTATTTTTGTTATGATTTTCATGCTTGCTTTCTGGTTAAGTGTTTCCTGGCATTTTTCTTATCCTATTCTGTTAAAGTCTTTCCTTTCTTCCTAGATATGCCTTTTCTTTTATCCCAAAGGGAAAAAGGGAAGAAGTACATGGGGGAGGTGGGAGAGATAGCGATTCCCTGCTTGCCATCGTTTCCCTTGTTGAACTCTCTTTTTTAATATATATATATATATATATATATATATATATATCCAACTA